CGAATTACTTTAGTCAAGTCGAATAGAACACCTGAACTCGAATTCCTCACAAGCTAATAATTATAATATTATACTGGCGTATAATATTATACAATTATATTATACAGTGTAAATGTATGAAGCACATGCAAACAAATCTATATTTAGACTTGGTAAAAACATTCTCCAGGAATGTTTTGGATGAATCAAGTAATACCTCGACGATTCCATATACGATAGATTCATAGGCTTGGTCGATGAAGCCCAGACTCGTGACTTGGTAGAAGAGATATTGAATGTATCCTCCCGGGGCGGAGTGCGTGTGTGTTCCACTAATTATCACATTTTCTGTCGTATAAATACCCCCGTACAAAATCTTCAGCCTTTCAACAACCTGCAACGCATGCAAATTATAAAATTAATTGTACTCTAGATATATTATATGTTCATTGTTCTTTTATACAAATGCCAAGAACATAATGACTAGTTTATCTAAGAATCTTGCTATCAAGAATATCTCGCATGTCGACCAACTTGTTCTCGAATGAATGCTAGACAACAAATGTTTTCGTATCAATCATATAGCCTCCGCAGTCCCTGTCTCGTGTTATTGACAAAGAAAAAACAATGCAACCATTACCATCAATGTTTTGTTATTTCAATCGTCCATGCCTAGAAGTATGAAGTTACTGTTAGGCAGAAAGACAGAATGTATTAAAGTACCTCAGCTCATCTTTAAAATCTGTCCACTTGCCGTCATTTTGACGAGCTGTGTAGCCATGCCCAGGTCAGTGTTGACGAACACGAATCTGTTGGTGTCGTCGTCGATGATGAAGGCGCGAGCGAACAGTCGAATGTGAATACCGTCGTTAATCTGTGCAGGGTTGGCGTAGCCCATCTGTAAACAACTGGTTATTTGAAACAAAAATTTAATTTTCATCTATAATTTGGAAGTGCTTTCGAGCGGCAAACGGCCGCTTCGGATGAGGTAAAGTGAGAGCCAGCTTCGGTACCTTCGATCGCAAAGACGCACCTAGATCCATATTGATATCTGATTCAATATTTGCTTTGGGAATATGTCGCTTCTCAAGATTTTACTTATAAACATATCAATAAGCCTTTCCCAGCTGAAGGCTGACCACAAGTAAAAGTTCCCACCATGTTCACTCCAGCAGCAGGTCCTGTGATATCATATCTACCAACGCCGATGTTGTAGATGCCCGTCGAAGGGTNGTTCCATTAGAACGTGGCACGTAGACGACGTACACCGATACGCACTTCCCCAGTTCTAGTTTTTTGTGCCGTTTAAAATCATACAGCTCACTGCTTCTATTAAATTAATGCTATCATCCATGTGTTGCTGAATATGTGTAAATGTATTTCGTTCTAAGCCAATTATGACGTTATTGCCTCAACGTTTAATTATTTAGGGCGAGATCTTAAATTTTAGCAAGAGACGTATAGCGTTTCCTGCTGAGCGGATGAATGCATAGGCAACAAACGGGATGAAAAAATTTTTGTTTCATGAAAATTGAGAGAGAAGTTTCGAGCTCGCAATTCATGGCATGCAGGCCATTCAAGATTCAGTGTTCTCATCATGCGACGAAGTCGCTCAAAAATTTTTACTTCCGAGCTCAATTTATACCCTGGTCAAGGTTAACAAGCAATTTAAAAGCAAAGAAAACGCCGAGTAAATTCACTACATCGATGTTTCAAACATTTCTGAGTCGAATTCTACCGCCAGTTCGACAATCTAGAAAATAAAATGCCTCAGTCAATCACTAATTATAATCTGACCATCGTTCCATCCATAGCATCACCACCTGCCATGCCACAAAAATTGAAATATGAGCATTTAAATCAAAGTATCGACTCGGATGATGAAATTTACGCTTTTTCCGCATTTTTCTAAAAGGCGGAAGTTTAAATATGTACTTAATTATATAATGTAACTTGATTTAATTTAATGAAATTTTTACGTTATCAATTTTTTCATTTGCATAAACTAAATTTTTTATTATAAAGAAAATATTTCGCTTAGTGACTGGACTGCATTTAATAAATTTTTCAAGTGCGATTTAAACCTCCAATATTGAAAAATTTTAAAAATGCATACGAATTAATGTTTCGTATAATACTTCTTAAGTTCTTACTTTCTTGAACTGGTTTCTGAAATTTTAATTGCTGGACATTCCGTTAATCGTAAACAAGCACCAGCGAAACATAGTCATTAGACACACAAAAAGGTTAATACCTAAGAAAAAACACGAGTAAATACAATCCTAGCGATTCACTATTCCGGATAGGAACTGTGCACATTATTAAGACACTGATTTCACTTGAAGATATGTAGTGATTACAAAATCCTCAAGTCCGAACAGCCAGAAGTGGAACAGAGTATCCTGGAATCACCCTCCGATACAGCAACGGCGCACAGCTCAGCATGGAAGCACACGGAAGAATGAGGAGGCTGACCGAGAAGCAAGAAAATTTCAGAAATTTTTTTAGATAAAAAAAATTATTTTACTAAACACACGGCGCGAAGGATACAAGTATCAATACGCGTACTGAGAGCGCGGGGTAAAACCGGGGGGACCCCGAATTTTACTACAACTGCAACTAGTAGTTATGCAACTAGATAGGTATTAGTTCAACCATGGGGTTTCCTCGCATTAGTTGTGAAAACGAAGTGTAATGGAAGCCGACCACGGATATGTTAGGTTACGGTTAACTAATTAAATTTTAGGTTTCATGCTGACCGAAAAGTCAATTTTTATTTTAAACCATTTGCACATGCAACCACGGGAAAGTGTCGTTGCCTAAAAAAGCCACTTTACACCGTTATCCGTGCTGAAACGATTTCTAAAATGATGGGTGCATTCATCTTTGTGATTCAATGCCAAAGTATATGCCAGCCTTTCTAACTTTTCCGTTCTCGTCGCAGGCACCAAAATTTTTGCTACCAACATACTCGAGAGCGGTTCCGCCCTTTCTCTGTTCTATTTTGTTCCATGTCCATGGGTTAACTACACGATCAGTTAGCTGATTTCCGGTGTGTCATGCGCACGATCATCCTTGAGGCTCCATGAGGTGCTCCATTGGTTGCTAGTCTGAATCTGGGATCAGTCAAGCCAAGAGCAAGGCGCTATTTGTGAAGAGTGTATTGCGATGAATATTCTCTGTGTAATATAAAATGATTCCTACATACAAGTGTCGACTTGAATATTCTGTCTTGCGGATTAAGGTTTTGTTCACGTCACGTGTAACCATATTATTATGGAATTTGTATACGGCGGGCAGTAACCGAGTTGCGTGTGAACTTAGTCGAAGCAAACGAGTTAATTCATGCGTGAATGACGTTTTCTCCGCCCTATTCTCAATTTCAGCGAACTTTTATGCACTTCTACACGATCAAACTCATGACATAACTGAGCAAATTTCCGATTTTGCTGGTCGCTGGCGTATCTTCTGACTTTCCGCGAGGTAGCTTTATGAAGTCAGTCGAATTTCTGTCCTGAAGAGCGACCTGCAATATATAAAATTATTAATGCAAACAAATTAATCAATATTTCGAATGTCTCAATGTGCCGCGAGCATATTACAATATGGAAGTTTCAATGGGAAAATAATTCGTTTAATTGGTCATACGAAGCTACTGGATTATTGTGATAGAACGAGCGTCATATATCATACAAAGAAAGGTTCGGTGACGCCAAGGAAGCTCTGTATGGTGCCCTCCAAGAACTTGGCGTGGCCAGTATGGCTGATACGGAACGTTCCGTTGGTGGTATCTTCTGGTACGTCCCACTTGACCGTGGCCACTGATGTTCCCAGCAACTTTGAAGTCTGTTGCCAGGAGTACCTGCAAGTACCAGGGTCTATAGTATATACCTATAGTAGTAGTAGTAGATACTAGATAGTAGGGTCTATTAAGATACGTGCTAGGCTGATAGTGTTCACACAGTAGGGTACCAGGGTCAACTAAGAACTACTAGAAGAGTTACGAGTTCGTAAGTCTGTCAGCCAATCACCGACGACTTTTCAAACAAAACCCACCAATCACAGGCGGGAAATCGGCTACTTCGTATGCTTAAGCGAGTTCAGATATTATGGCCTCTGGACGATTGGAACATCTCTTCAAGTTCAGACAAATATGACATGCATGCCATTGCTGGCTAATTAATAAACGAAGGCTGGAAATAATTGAGCTCCAATGAAGCAATACAAATGACGAATGTTAACATCGGCATTAAGGTCATTTTTACTCAAGGACATAATTTACTACTGCTCACATACTGTCAATAATTAACGAGTTATTCTAGTAGTCTTGCCAACACATGTGAATGAGTATTGCCCGGATACGAATGAGTGTAGAAGTAAATATGGTATGCAAGCGGTGCCTCATACACTCGTACGACCAAATAATAACATCTGTTGTAGAACAATCGTTTACTCCCACATTAATAAACCGCAATCTAAAAGTGTACTTTTACTTCTTCATTTTCATTTTAATTCAAGGCTGTTCTTAATAAATTTCAAACATGTGGGGATTTTTTCACCAAAAATTAGAACGCATATAGAAAAATAGCAGGCTCACCCGGCGTTGCCCGGGACATAATTTTTAAGATGGGAACTCCTATTTTGCCAATCTAGCTGATAACTTCTAGCCCTAGTTTTATTTCAATAATACTCACTCAATCCCACGTTTATCTGTTGTTTCGAAATTTGAAAGATGTTGAAACTTAAAAAAAAAACATTTAAATTCAATTTTCAATCAAAATTTTCCCCAACATTTAGAGATACCTGATAATACTACCGATAAAAATTTATTTTTAAGGCAGGATGACATCGCGATACGCTGTTTCGGGATACGCGCTCGAATAGCCCTCTGCACGTTCACAGCTTTGTATGACATTTGAATTCTTTAATGTGAATTCATGTATAAAAGGAAAGACTTATTTCATTCATAAGACTTCCGTTAGGATCCTGGTGTAGTGAAGGAATTTCATTTAACTCCTCACTTTGTTTCCCAGTCGGCGTCAGTAGCGATGACTTCCCATGAGCCATCGTCGGCTTGCCGCTCGACGGTCAAGAAGCTGCCGCCCAGCAGGGGATCGTTCCGTGGGTGAGCCGATACCTTCGGTGAAAAATTGACGCGAGTTAGTCGTTAAATGTATGTAATATTCTAAACAGTACCGTCCATAAGCATTCATTGGAACAGTTCTATAATACTCTTCCTGAATAAATGCAACATAACTGCGAATTTAAAAACAAAGCGATAAACAATCGGTCGTAATCATTTCCTAATGTTAGGATACTCATTTAGATAAAATGCAATCCTTCGTGTGATTTTATTTAATACATAGAAGCTGGTCATACATCACAAATTCTGGTCAAGCATCTATTGGATCACGTTCGCACCCACGCATCGAAAAAGAACTTACAAATTTGACGATGACAGTTTCTCCGGGGTACACCACCGGGTAGGGTTGGGCCAGCACATCACCAAAGGCGTAGTCGAATGGCGTCGAGTCGTAGACGTTTTCACGCACAAGACTGATTTGATCTTTAAGTAAATTTGGAGGGGCTGGACCTGGCGGGATGGCTTTTCCCTGGAAAAAGAAGTTATTGTCCAATTTTGTACATCATCTACTTCCTCGCGGGCAATTAGCGGGCTTCACATCGTTGCTACCGGGTCGAAGTATGAGTGACAACAACCGTGAATATCATTTGATGCTGTAGTGCTGCGCATGGTGTAGTGCTGCATGCTAGGTGGTATAACAATATAGACTGCTCGGCACACCCTCAGCATGGCTCTAGACAGCATGTTGTAGTGTTCCATGCTAGGTGGCAAAACACTATTGACTGCTCGGCCCATACCCTCAGCATGGCTCTGGACAGCATGGTGTAGTGCTGCATGCTAGGTGATGTAACACTATTGTCTATTGTCTGCTCGGCACATACCCTCAGCATGGCTCTGGACAGCATGGTGTAGTGCTGCATGCTAGGTTGTATAACAATATTGTCTGCTCTGCACATACCCTCAGCATGGCTCTGGCCAGCATGGTGTAGTGCTGCATGTAAGCCTCCAAGGTGTGCGGACCAAAGATGGTGCTGGCTCCTTCGTATCTCTGGATCGCGTACTCCTCGAACGTGGTGATGTAGTGGGTGTAGACGTTGGACAGTCCTGCTATCACTGGCACGATACCCGGGACACCTTCCTCCGCAAAAACTGATGACAACTGTGCACAAAATTTTCACTAGAGTTTATGAGAAAGTTAAGTTTGTTTTAAAAAAATCAACATCAAAACTTGACAGCGCTTCCGTCAGCTAAGCTAAAAGCTTTGCATCGGCACGCATTTTTAATTAAGAATATTAACTGCTTGTTAACTTGCTTAACTTTACCTTGGATAACTCTGACCAATTTTTAACTGATAGTAAACTGATCTGATGGCTTCCAGCAAACACGAATTTTTCACAGACCTAGTTTTGAATAAAGTTATTGTAAGTTGAAATCCTACGAAAATTTTTATCCAGAACTTTTTCCACTTTTTATACTTTACTATTCGTTCCCTGCAAACGTATCGGTCGTGTGTCCGGAAACAACAATAATAAAACATGTGTATTGATTGAATGACCAAGTCATTGCATAGAGGTCAATTCACTGTACATTAGTTCATTTACGATTTACTTGAAATAGATTCTAAGTTTCAATAACGGACTTGGTCGCGCATTCTCCTGCCGGACATGGTGGTGAACTCCCCTGGCACGGCAGCGATCACGAACTGTCCCACTCTGGCGACCTGCGTCTCCACGATGTCCGACGTCCACTCGTACGGCCTGTGATACTGAAGACAAAGTCCAAAATTTTAGAGTGAAAGGCATTGCATTTCCGGACACTGGGAAAATTAATCATATGGATCCTTGATCCCTAAATTCGTTGAATTATTACTCTGAAAATTTCACCAGCTAAGCATTTCGAACCGATGCAGGCGAGACATTTTAAGTCGCTTCACGCAAAAGTTCTTCGTTCATTTTAATGATCAATTATAAGAACACGTTCATCAGATGATTTACACATCCAATTGTAGTTTTTGATTTAAAAAAACAAATACAACATTTTTAGCCGTAAAAAAATTCTATTATTGTCTCTCTATCTTTAGCGAGATGCTTTGGCCTAATTTGAATTTTCAAATTAATTTCTCACGTTTCCAGTTTCAAGCAGAATTGGCTTGGGATGGTGGCACACGATTTGTTCTGGATCCGTCTCAACCACAAAGTTGACGATTTTGGTCCAGAACGGATTATCTTCTGTCATTCCTTGGGTAAAGTCGAAAACCCCTGGACCGTCTGTGGCTCCAGCTGCAAAGCTAAATCCTAAAGCTGGTCTGCAAGTCTGTGTCTGGTGGAAAAAAGTTTTTTTAATACTATAAGTCATTGAAATGAATGAAATAGTCGCTTTAGTCCTGGTTCATTTTCTATCCTGAATTTTTTCTAACCTGAATGTAGCTTTACTGTAATCTCATTTTAAGTGAAATTCTATTTACGAATTTGTCGTAATGATAACTCGAACACTGTGAATACGAGCTCAAGCTACCGCAGGCTCCAACAATATTTCCATTGTTTTATTCCCAAGAAACCCTCACCGCGGTTCCGTTGGCCAGCGTCACGGTGTAGTTGGACATGTCGAGCTGCTGTCCAATTATTTGTACGGGGCCAATGACTTGTACGGCATTAGGATCGTTGTACAATTCCTGACACGAGCGCAGATTTACAGTTAAATTGAGTAAAAAGATTATTGAAGGGTCATTGATTTTACTATCAACTACGTATTTTTTTAGCGTTAACGACCGTAAAGGTGAGACTCGTCAAAAACTTTATAGTTCTTTGAACCGTTACAATTACAAAGAAAGTTACCATAGCTTTTCTTAAACTGTTCCATACATCGATTATTGTATACTTTTTTCAATGTTTATTTGGAATCGTAACCCAAACATCTTGACACAAAACTTTTTGTAGAAGATATTTACAAATTCGTAATTGGTTGTCATAACTACTTTCTGCAATAAATTTTACTTCTTAATATACTATAGATTCAATTAACTCAGTTGCGTCGGCGGTCTGGAACATCCAGACTTACGACAGCTTTTTCGAACTGCCTGGTGCCGAATATCTCGGTGCTTTCCTCCATGTCTTTGCCTGGCCCAGCGGCATAGCAGAGCTTGACGCGACCTCCGCATGTGGACGTTAGGATGTCACAAGCCAGGCCTGTGTCCTGGCATTTGGGGCCGTCCGTGTTGGGTGAAACGTCGCCGCAGTTGCTCTGGGCGAACGCCCCTACGAATTTACCCTGATGGAAAACAGGTAAGATTATGCGGAGCTGCCATGTAATTTGATCCCCGCGCAGGAGCTTCCATACACTGCTTCATAATAATAATAGCGGTTTCAGCGTTATTAGGCCGTAGGCCTGTCGCCGATTCTTAACATCGCAGAACATTCACAGCATTTTGCGGTATCGAACTCGCAACTCACTGCTTCAATTCTGCTGTGCTTAACCGCCCGGCCTCCTTGCCGATCTGACCAGAAACTGGCGCACAGAGCTGGGATCAAACCCGCACCTCTCTGCTCCAATCTTGGTACTCTCAACTGTAACCACTAGGCCACCCTGTTCATCTGATTATTAAGTGCAGTGAAAAATGTTACTCGTTTCTGTCGAAATTATTTGCTGAATAATGTATTTATGCAAATTAAAGACCGTACTTTTTGGTGGATTTAGTTGCAAATCAAGCAGTTTAAACGATCGAGCCAAGTATATTATGAATAATATTTTGATTACCTTTCCGGCAAGTGAACCGGGATCCATGGCCTTCTCGAAAAGCTGTTCAGCGTAGCCCTTGTTGTCGCCCGACACGAGGGTGTTGGTTTTGTTCATGGAAGTAGGGTGAACAGCGAACCAGTTCACCATACCTCATATGTAAGGAAGATTATTCGGACGTCATAGCATGCCAAAGGTCCCAAAATATAATCTTAGTTGCAGATATTGAAACCCAATCCAGAATAGGTAGTTCTGGAGTCTGCCACATTTGAGAACAGGTAGTTCTCAAAGTCTGCCACATTTTAACCCTCATTTTAATCTATCAATCAATTTTAACCCTCATCTATCTATCAATCAGCTTTTTTATGTAGTGGCAAGACTTGCTCATTCGTGTACTCACCCAAATCAGTACCGTCCTCAGCAACAAACTTGAGCAGCGTCATGGTCTTGTCGGTGTCGTATTGATATTTGGCTCGCTCCTCCTCTGGGTTGTTCAAATAAGCTGAGGGACTCCTGCGTGGAAGTTCAATAACGAAAAAATTCAACATTCGATTAAGTTCATATGCACTATATGCCTACGGTAAACCTGTGGACTTTAACATCTCAAGACAATTTGATGCGTCATATAAATCTCAAAGCTAAATAACCCGGCTGTCTATCTGAAATAATTCTTGAATTTATAATATCTAAGACAAAAGTCCCTTATATACGCTTAACCTGTTACGGAAAACTTAAAGCATTGATTCTGATAATCCTATTTTACTCGATATAAAAAATTTATCTCAACGCTGTTCGCCAATGTATATAAATTTCACTGTGTTGTGCTTAGTTTTTAGCATAGCTTACACCACAATTTTCACCACTTGTTTACTTAGTTTAAAATCCACACTTTGCATGCAAAAAAAACATCTCACCTGTTGATGTTAGCATTTAAGAGTTCTCCTGAACTGTAGTACAGGCGACCGGTCGTAATGGAGTTATGGGCTTGAATGATGCTCTGTTAGGAAATTACGGACTTTTTTGATGAAAATTTCAACCGTTTTGGAAAAGAATAACACGTAAAATATATTAAATTAGATTAATTAATCCAATATAATAGATTATAATGCGGTTTACACGTGCAATATATTGTGCGGTTATCTATGATTTCTGATTTTTCAATGTGCTTGAACAAATATATATCCCAGTTACTTTAGTCAATTCGAATAGAACACCTGAACTCGAATTCCTCATAAGCTAATAATTATAATGTTATACTGGCGTACAATATTATAACGATTATATTATACAGTGTAAATGTATGAAGCACATGCAAACAAATCTATATTTAGACTTGGTAAAAACATTCTCCACGAATGTTTTGGATGAATCAAGTAATACCTCGACGATTCCATATACAATAGATTCATAGGCTTGGTCGATGAAGCCCAGACTCGGGACTTGGTACAGGAGATATTGAATGTATCCGGCCGGGCCAGAGTGCGTGTGTGTTCCACTAATTATCACATTTTCTGTCGTATAAATACCCCCGTACAAAATTTTCAGCCTTTCAACAACCTGCAACGCATGCAAATTATTAAATGAATTATAATCCAGAAATATTATATGTTCATTGCTCTTATATACAAAAATCAAGAATATAATAATTATTTTATCTAAGTATCTTGGCATCAAGCATATCTCGCATGTCGACCAACTTGTTCTCGAATGAATGCTAGACAACAAATGTTTTCTTTTAAACCATAGCCTCCGCAGTCGCTGTCTTGTGTTATTGGCAAAGAAAAAAACAATGAAACCATTACCATCAACGTTCTGTCATTTTAATCGCATATGCCTAGAGGGATGGAGTTACTGTTGTAAAATGTATTAAAGTGACTCAGCTCCTCTTAAAAATATGACTACTTGCCGTCATTTTGACGAGCTGTGTCGCCATGCCCAGGTCAGTGTTGACGAACACGAATCTGTTGGTGTCGTCGTCGATGATGAAGGCGCGAGCGAACAGTCGAATGTGAATACCGTCATTGATCGGTGCAGGGTTAACGTAGCCCATCTGTAAACAACGGGTTATTTAAAACAAAAATAATTTAATTTCCATCTATAATTTAGAAGTGCTTTCGAAAGGGAAACGGCCACTGAGCTAGCTTCGAGCTAGCTCAGAAATGAAGAAAAATGATGAATGAAGAAAAATGAAAAAATGCTTCGGTACCTTCGATCTCAAAGACGTACCTAGATCCAAGTTGATATCTTATTCAATATCTGCTTTGGGAATATGTCGCTTACCAATATTTTATTTATAAACATATCAATAAGCATTGCCCAACTGAAGGCTGACCACAAGGAGAAGTTCCCACCATGTTCACTCCAGCAGCAGGTCCTGTGATATCATATCTACCAACGCCGATGTTGTAGATGCCCGTCGCCGGGTCAGCTGCCCTGGCCGCGCCTAACACCAGCAAGGACAGTAACACCTTGCAAATCATGTTCACTGAAAGAAATTAGTCAGAGATCGTTTTATACACATTAGAATTTGCGACTGTTGATTAAAATTGTTTAATGTTAATAATCGAGCCTCTTCAACTATCACGCAAGCCGCAATACAATTCAAAGTTTCCAGATCGTCGACGAAAACGTGAAGTCGCGGACGGACGGACGGACATGGCGAGCACAATAGTGCATTTTTTCATAAATAAGAAAATGCGCTAAAAACTGCGTTATAACACATCCTTGCGACAAAATTTCTTCTCTCTTCGAGTCACCGACATGTGAACAGCTTCCTTGATAGCTTCGTTGACGCTCCGAGTATGAACGCCTTAAATTACACGTTAAGTGCGGGACGACCCACGGGTGGGTGGCAGGGTCTTTTTTCCGGATAAATTCCGCGATTTAGTTTTTTTTTCAATTGCGTTTGTCGACAAAAATTTATGATGACAGTACTGCCTCTTTAAAATATAAAATGTACGAAAAAAAGGAAAATTTAATTTTTGCACCTGAACCTACAAATTTACTAGTATATTTTGAATTATAGGCCTTTTTAGCAGTGGACTTGGCCGTTTTTAGGCCAGCTGCCAGCGCTGTGGGTCGTTACCGCACTTAACGTGTTAAGAACAGACTAGACGAAGCTATGCAGGAGCATATGTTCAGTCTTAAAATGCCTAGCAAATTACGGACCAGGCAATGAGTCCAGAAGCCATCTCAATCAATCGTCAGTTAGTGAAAGATCGAGTTCCAAAGGCCGTATCCCTTGTGAATCAAGTCACGAAAAATTCAAGAATCGGCAACAGGCCATGGGCCTATTTCTTCAGTGCCGACACTTCTATTATATTCTATGAACAAGAATCGGCAACAGGCCATGGGCCTATTTCTTCAGTGCCGACACTTCTATTCAATTAATTAACTCAATCTCTAGGTCTCGTCAGAATTTGTCTGTTCGATCGCGATAACCACCTGATTGCATCGGGAAAAAACATTTTATACGTGATAGCACTCACACCTGCTGTTCCCACGTGTTGTGTACCTTGCATTCAACTGCACAATGATTTTTTGGCTTATACGTTGCGACGCAATTTACTTTCACTCTTATTTGCTCTCGACATTTTATTCAGTTTCCACTTATCGTGTACTGGTAGCTAAACATCCATGGGATCCTTAACTCGTGTTTTAGTTAAGAGTTCATGTATGGAGCATCTAACGAAGTTCGCTAACTTTTTTTAGCTAATCATAAAAAAAAACAAGCCTTTGGCGCATATTAAAATTTGTAAAATTGTGAGAGTAGTTCCATTAGAACGTGGCACGTAGACGACGTACACCGATACGCACTTCCCCAGTTCTAGTTTTTTTGTGCCGTTTAAAATCACACAGCCCATTGCTTCTATTAAGGGGCTCGTTTTGGTCCAAAATCGACAATTTTGGCTTTTCCTATTTTTAGTCTCATCTTAAAGCTGACATTCTGCCCTATAAAACGTACCAAAACCATCTCTGTACGTTGATTTATGCGTTCACGACAGATCCCGAAAGGAAGGGAGGAGGATGGGTGAGTTCTTTCACATTTAAGATAGGGAATAATTACCGCAGTGCACCATAAATCGCTAATCTACAGACATTCAGCTCCAGTAACCTTGCCACAGTCGTACGGGGTGGTAATTGCGCCGTCGCTCGTACCATCCTTGACAGAAATTGAGCTCCAGTATCATCTAGTCTCATTCCTTGCAGTTTTGAATGCCGATTTCGAGGCGCCCGGGACTTAATTAGTCGGACTCTACTGAACATTCATACTTATGGTCACTGGAAACCTATTTCCTCCTACAATTTCGAAGCTACAGCAATGAGGCATGTACCATTCGATTTGCAAAGAAAATATCTACAAATTGTTGTAGGCGTTTTTCTAATTTCGTTATAGATCAACGATGCTATCAGGGAGGCTGTTCCACATGTCGGTGACTCGAAGCGAGAAGAAATGTTGTCGCATGGATGTGTTCCAACGCTGTTTTTTTAGTTCGGATTTTATTTTGGATTTTATTTTGCGAAAGGTTAGGGGTAAAATCGAAAATTTTACGAGTAATGCTCCCACACCCACAAAAATGGGAATTTCAAAAAAACGCCTACATCAATTTGTAGATATAACCTTTACGCATCGATTGATATGTGTCTCAATGTTGTAGCTCGAAAATCCTAGGCCCGCGAAAATTTCTACAGTACCCCCTTTTTGGCCGTTTTCGAAGAATTTCACGTTTTCTTTCATTTTTTCAAAAAATTCACATGAACAAAAAAGTCTTAGAATTCCGTTTTACGTACGTGTATTGAATTTCGATGTGATCCGTCCGTAAATAAAAAAAGTTTTTTTTTTACCAAGACGCTCCCCTTGAATCAATGCTATCATCCATCTGTTGCTGAATATGTGTAAATTTATTTCGTTCAAAGCCAATTATATCGTCATTGCCTCAAAGTCTAGTTATTTAGGAAGAGATCTTAAATATTAGTAAGAAATGTAGCGTTTCCTGCTGAGCGGATGAATGCATAGGCAAAAAACTGGATTATAATTTTTTTTGTTCCATGAAAATCGAGAGAAAATTTTCGAGCTCGCCGTTCATGGCATGCTGGCCACTCAAGATTCGGTGTTCTCATCATGCGAAGAAGTCGCTCAAAAATTTTTACTTCCGAGCTCAATTTATACCCTGGTCAAGGTTAACAAGCAATTTAAAAGCAAAGAAAATGCCGAGTAAATTCACTATATCGATACTGCAAACATTTCTAAGTCGAGCCCTACCGCCAGTTCGACAATCTAGAAAATGGAAACAATCCTTATAACTCAAAATCCAAAGTCAGACGATAAAACCTAAAATTGACAAATTAAAGACAAATCAATCTTAACCCTCTCACTAGCAATTTACAAAGATGACCCACCACGGCTGCCCGTTTGTGCATGAGGCTTCCTTATCAATTTTTATCATGCCTCAGTCAATCACTAATTATAATCTGACCATCGTTCCCTCCATAGCATCACCATCTGCCATGCCCAAAAATTAAAATATGAGAATTTAAATGAAAATATCGGCTCGGACGATGAAATTTACGCTTTTCCGCAATTTTTAAAAGGAACGAGTATAAATATGTATTAATTATATAATGTAACTTGATTGAATTGAATATTTTTACGTTATAAATTTTTTCATTTGCATAGACTAAATTTTAATTATAAAGAAAATATTTCGTTTAGTGACTGCATTTAATAAATTCTTCAAGTGCAATTTAAACCTCCAATATTGAAAATTTTTAAAAATACATACGAATAAATTTTTCGTATAATACTTCTTACTTTCTTGAACTGGTTTCTAAAATTTTAATTGCTGGATATTCCGTTAATAGAAAACAAGCACTCGCGGAACACAGTCATAAGAGACTCAAAAAGATTAATACATAAGAAAAAACACGAGAAAATACAAGCCAAGCGATTCACTATTTCATGAGGATAGGAACTGTGCACATTAATAAGACACTGTTTTCACTTGAAGATGTGTAGTGATTACAAAATCCTCAAGTCCGAACAGCCAGAGGTGGACCAGCGTATCCTGGAATCGCCCTTCGATACAGCAACGGCGCACAGCTCAGCATGGAAGCACACGGAAGAATGAGGAGGCTGACCGAGAAGCAAGAAAATTTCAGAAATTTTTTTAGATAAAAAAATGATTTTACTAAACACACGGCGCGATGGAAACCCATTCAGCTGAAATATATTACGAATGAATTTCGATTCCGAATGCATACGTGATATATTTCAGCTGAATGGGGGTTTCCATCGTGCTTTGTGTTTAGTAAAATCAAACGTTTTTTTTATCTAACACGTCTTCTGCAACTCTGATTGGAGGCAACAGTAAAAAAATTATTTATTGCACTTTGCCCTGTTTTGGTAGTTATGTCCAGCAAACTTAGCTATGTCCAGCAAACGTCTGAAGCCATGTCCAAAGAACTTGGGATTTTGTTTATGAAATATTTTCCGAATGTTAGAAATTCAAAAGCGAAGAAAACACCACACAAATTTAGCATATCTCTTTTGAAAACGTTTCGGAGACCAGCTCCATCGTCAGTTCGATAAATCTAGAACACAGATAAATGCAGAAAATTAGTTTGGAGTTAATCAAGAAAACACAGAAGTTAAAAACCTAAATTTACAGACAAAGGGACTGGAGTGTTAGGCTGTCTGGAATGTTAATTTGACTGGAAGACTGGACTCATGGAATGTTAATTTGAAGGTTATGCTTGTAAATAATTTTACAATTGGTACTTTCTTTAAGTATAAGGACGTTATTCCTGCCCGAATGCGATCGATCCTGGTCTATGAGTATAGTTGTGCGCACTGCGCATCAGCGTACGTTGGAATGGAGTAACGAAACTTCTACATCCGGGTTTCTGAACACCGCGGCATGAGCTATCGTTGGAAGGGGGACGACTGAAATAGCCCAGCATTGCCCAAACCAGCATAATTTTCATACTTCACACCATGCGCGAGCATGCTGCAGAGCAAATTAGCCAATATGATTACTTGCTGATAGCCACCGGGTATAAATCCCTTCATGGATGTAAACCAGCGAGCCAATGAGCTGCAAGCCGCCAAAACAATGGTCGTAACCCACACGCTAAATCCCAAATTATTTCTATTCCATGCAGCCTACCCCCTTCACCACTTTTGATAAAGAACGCCCTGCGCCACAGAACTATCAGTACACTGCTACCTCTCCAGCCTGTCCGTTCTTCTAAAGGCTATTCCCCTGCCTGTCCGTTCTTCTGGAGGCTATTCCCCTGCCTGCCCGTTCTTCTGGAGGCTAAACCTCCACGCTTACCCCCTGCTCCCCCTCCTTTCGGTATCAGCTTGCGGAAAAATTTTCACATTCTATCCCAGTTTCCCATTCTTTCTCATGTTTCAAGCATATCCTACATAACCTAACCCATCGCGGAAAGGTGGAGAAAGGGAGGTGGTGGAGAAAAG